CTTGTCTAAAGATCAACAAAATATGTTTTGGGACATACTGGTATGTGTAAGGAGGACAGAATAGGTCCTTTCTGTTGTAACTCAGTTTGCTTTATTAGGTTGAAAATAACCTCTTTATTTTTCCTTTGAGAAGTATTCCTCTGGGTGTTATCAGAAAAAATACAGAATGATAAAAACCTGCTTCCTGCTTGCGGAAACATCAAAGCTGGGCCTTTTTAGTGTGTATTTGTAGTCTGTTCTTAGATATATATTTGTGGGTCTAGAAAGTGTATATGAGATCACTGTGGAAACAAATAGAATAATATATATAGACAAGTACTTGAAAAACATACCTGTACAGTAACTGAAGTTTTTTTCAAGGTGTTATTTCTATCTATGCTACATTTTCTGTCCTTTTCTTGTTCCCCTACAACAGCGCATTACAATTCAGATCCTTTAGGCTAATGGGCTGTTCTGTCTGCTAAGCAACTCAAAATGTCCAGTCCCTGTGGTGCTTCAGGCCATTCTGCTCAACTAGTTTATTCTAATAAACTACTCCGTTCCTTCTGTGTTTGTGGATCTCAGTGCTCAGAGTGAGTTCAAATTAATCTCAAACATAATACAATTTAAGTAACCTTTCTACAGTAAGTATAGGTAGCTGCCAGACTGAACTTCACCCTTTTATTCCCTTATATACTAGGTTTTCTAGGAAACAGCAAGAAAAAAATGTCTTTTTCTATCACATGAGTATTCCTGCATATAAATCCTTACCATGACTATACTGTCACTAGTGCCTACGATAAAATCAAGTTCAAGAACAGTGTAATGGACTTGTCTGGGTAGGTTGTGCAGCCATGAACTGCAGCTATGATTACTCTTTCCAGACTTCAGTGTTGTCATTTGCATCTCAGGCTTGAGTAAGTTAAATCTCAGAAACATACTAGATGGAAAAGAAGTCTGTAGTTCTGTCTAGTGCTGGAAGACATGCAGAAATAAGTTTGAAATTTTATTTTTAGTTCCCTTCTAGTTAAGGATGTGTTAGGTATGCATTGGGAGCGCCCATCAGAGCAATCTACATACATAGACTGGCTTTCAGAAGACAGGTGTTTGGTTTTTTTTTTCCATGCTGATGTTTTAGATCTCGGCTCCATCAAACTAATCTTTGTAGCCTTTTCAAGAGTTTTCATGACTTCAGCTTAAAAATCTTGCTAGATTTCATGAATGGGCAAGGAATCAGAGGTTCATCCTCCCTTTGACTAGAAGCCTCTGTGTCTTTACGTGGTGTCACCAACCAACCAAGTATGCTGCAAAAACAGTATTTGGGGACAGGAGTAGGACACGGGGTGGGGTGGTGTCTGTTTTGAAGTCTTCTCAGGAAACGAGGGAGAAGATCATGATCACATATCAGACTTTTTATTAAAACTGTCATGAAACCATTCCTGCATAACAGACCAATACAGTTTACAGGTTTACTAAATAAAGCTAGATGAAAAACTCCCAGAAGCTGGTATCTCTTTTTTTTTTTTTTCCCCTCTGGGTATAATATAGCGGTATGTGTAATAGAGAATTCCTGTTTCCTCCAGTATCTTTTTCCAGTAATCCCTTTCTAAATTAGGGCTATGTTAGTATAGTCCTTCTTATTAGCTATGCATAATTTCATTGTTTGCCCCTTTTTTTAATTAAAGAAACCAGATAGAATTTTTTTTTTCAGGCATTCACGTAGTCTTTCTGCTTGAAAAAATGGTAGCCAGTCCTTCAGATTCCTACTAAGGTGAGGTTTTCCAGACTGCACATACACACTCTAATAAAATTGCTTTCTGTACTGCTAACAATTACAGTGTATCCTGTATTAACAGCAGTTCAGAAGTTCACTAGCAAATGTTGGTTTTCTTTTCTTAGTGCAGCTGTTGTGGATGAACGCAAATGTATAGTGATACAGCAGCACACTAACTGCAATATGATAACAGCATAAATTAAATGTTATCTGTCTTAACATGCCGAAACTAAACTCTATTATATACTTGAATATTCTTTGCTTTTTCAATGTGTTTTCCTCTCAGAAGCTTTCAGACTTTAAGTTCCGTCCATAGGGTACTGCTGGTGCTTTGCTGATGGCTTCTTTCAACAGCAGCATTTTGCCTTTTGAGATTCAATAATAGATTTCCCGAGGACCTGACAATTTCATATGAAAACAATTTGTCAGCACTCAAAATGGGTATAGGAGTTTCGTTACAGACATACTATGCCTAAACTGGGACCCAAATAAACTTGCTTTTGTCGTAAATGCCAGCTGCCCTTGTCCTCTAAGAGTTTGATTCCTGTGGAAGGGGTGGCAGAGCTAGTTATAAGCAGATGCTTCCTTTGTGCAGTGGGCTCAGGGCTGCCTTCTTTGTGTAGTTCCCCTTCTCTTCTTCCCTTGCTTCCACAGTGTTCCCGCTTTTCTACTTCGGAAGATTAAGCCAAGATTGTCCTGGTATGTCTATACATCAGTTTAGTCTGGCCAGAGCTATTGCAAATGTCCACTTAGCCACTAGAGAAGGTATTACGGTGAGATGTTCCAGTCAGATCCAAAGTCACTAAACCAACAGTGTGATTGCTGGCCAGTTGGATAGGTTGAACTGATTCAAAGCATTAATGAATAAGAAAACCTGACTATGGAGGAGACGTGTGTAAGGCGAGTATTTGTGCAAAGTTAATTTTACCGTAGTTTCTGAATTTTATCAAAATCAGCTTGTCTATGGTCCTTCAAAGCCAGGCTTGGCAGCAGAAGAAAGGGAATGGCACGTATGAGATAAATCTAGGACTTCTGCTTTATTGCACTGACAGAACCAAATTGTTCAATCTGTTGCCTCATCTGTTTCTTGCCATAGCTGGGAGTTGTAAAGGTCAGGCCATCGCAGCACAAAGAATATAATAGTTAACATGCTGCATCTCACAGTGTTACCAGCTGGCTGGTGCATTTCTCCCATTGAACATCCAGGCTCTTTCCCAAAAAACATAAGTAGCATCCTCTGCCTATTTTGGGAATGCGTCAAAGTCAGAAGTTTCTGAAGGTGGTACTGTGGGATGCCCAGTATGGTCAGCGCTGTGCTCGACTCTGACATCCTGTGCTGCACTTAAGAAGGCTGCAGCAGTTTTCAGTTTGAAATAATTCTCATCACCCTCAGAGGTGCAACTTTTTGTCCCTGTACAGTCGGGTCTGTTTACTGAGAAAAATTACCTTACTGTCAGTTGTGTGTGTTTGAGGAGGTGTTATGTGATGGAAGCCTCTACCAGTGTACCAGTCACCCCTGACCCCCACCTCCTACTGCTGTTGGGTAGAGTGCCTGGGTGACAAAGATTTCATCCCAGAAAAGAAGTCAGGGTTATAGCTGCTCTGCTTGTTATACCCTGGTGTAGGAGAATGAGAAGTATGGGTATGGCTACAAGGCAATAGCTACTGTATCAAAATTACTGTGAATACACATGAATAAAGGAGGTAATGAGTGATACAAATAAATACGTATGAAACGGACTGCTATGGAAGACCTTTTCGGTTTAAATCTGATCTTCAGCATGATGTCTAATGTACCTGTCTCTCTTGAAAATATCAGATGGGTGCACAGGCAACATAAACGTGTTTTGTCATCCTCCTGTGACCCTTCCTCAGTTTTGAAGCGAGTCCTCTGACTCTTTAGCTCTTCTTTCTCCCCCTCTTGTTTTTCCATGTTTTTAATACATGTTAAATGATGAAGATTAATGACATGCTCTTGGCAGTATTTGACAAGATAAAACCAGAAGTAAAAGCCAGTTATTACTTACTTCCAGTATTTTGTTAATGGTTTTGCATCCTAACAACGCTTTACCTTTGCAGAAACCAGATTGGTCATTCATATCACGTTAAAACTATGAAGTTAGCTCCACTTAGAGGTGTCTCAGTCTTAATATCTGCTGGTTTTTTGCTGTAGGTTGTCAGTAGGCATTGATGAATCAATTACATTTGTTATTTAAAAGACACAAAGTCAAAAGTTCAGAAACTCTTACTTTTAAGAACATTGGGATGACCAAAAAAAAAAAAAACACATGCTATCAGGATAGCTTAAGCCAGTCTACTAGTCCGTTACGGTCCACCAGCACGTTTAATACAGACTGCATCAGTGCTTTGGCCTCCAAACACCACTTGGCGTTTATTGCCTGAAGCCTGCACATCAGCCATTGTGGCTGATCCCACTGCGTATGTTGGGCACCCACTGTGGGAAGGGGAGGTGTGCCCCTGGGCCTTCTGAGAGTGGAAGCACTTGGTTATTGAGTTATGACAAAGACCTGAGGTCTTCGATGTTGCAGCTGATTGACTGTGTGGGACCACACAGCAAAAAACCAGCGCTGCCCTTGAAGACTAGGAACCGTTGCCTCACACCTAGTGGTCTCAATTCCAGTTGCTCACTTGGCAAAACAGAATGACATAAAATACACTCTTGTAGCATAGCGTGTCTTATACTTCAGTGCTTTGTGTTAAGAAGCTATGTCGCAGATGAAAGCTGCGGGAAAAGATGTTGATGGTTTAAAACTCAATTTATTAGTTGGGTTTAGGTTTCTAACATGTACAAACTGCTTTTTTTTGGCACGAGTAACAACGTGAGACAAAAATGCCTTTTGGTAAATTCTACTAGCTAATTCTACTAGCTAAAACTTCTTGTTTGCCTAATATTATAACTAAATCTTTACTGTTCAGTATTTTAAATTTTCTCTGCTATTGCTATTCAGGGAAAAGTATTACCATAACTTGTTCTTTATTTCTTCAAATCTTTGTTATCCAAGTCACTGTTTGACTTAACAGAAGATCTTTGGTTTATGTTTCAACACTTGGAATGCTTTAGAACTTTAAATGTTTTCTTTCTTTATTTAAAAAAAAAAAAAAGGAGGGGAGAGGGTATATTGATGCAAGTGGTGTATGATATTTTAGTACATCCTGGTTTTGACAGTTCATATGTCTCCTCCTTCAGAATGCCGTTTAATTGTGATTTACTTTTCATTCCTAAAAGGTGCCATACTTGGCAGATCAGAAACACAAGAGTGTATCTACTACAATGCTAATTGGGAAAAAGATAAAACAAATCGCAGTGGTATTGAACCTTGTTATGGTGATAAAGATAAAAGACGACACTGTTTTGCTACATGGAAGAATATTTCTGGATCAATTGAAATTGTGAAGCAAGGTTGCTGGCTAGATGACATCAATTGTTATGACAGGTGAGTGAGTTTCCTGTAAATTTTAAATTTATTTGTAATTTTAAACTATTCTGCCTGTCCATAACTTACACAACCTCCCCTTTGCAAACAGTACTCGAGACAAATGATAATACAGTAGTCTATGAATAGTTACCTTGTTTTTAGACATGCATACACATGCTTTTTATTTTTGCTCGCATAACTGTATTTAGGGACCTGACTTCATCTAAGTACTTTGTCTTGTTTGCAGAATAGCATGTTTTACCTTCTCTTATTTACTTACTATATAATAAAACCCAGGTATTTAATTTATTCTTTTTTAGGCCATTAATAATATATTTTCTAATGACTTGTTATTGCCAAACAATGCAAATACAGTTGTTGAAACCAGAATGCAAAATTCCATAGTTCACTTTTCCACAGTCTTTGGAGTAGGAAAGTCAGCACATTGTGTCTGCGCTTTAATTAAACGTGGAAGTACTTTGCCGATGTATTAAAAAGCTCACCTCAGTGGCAGCTCTAAGAAACATCGAATGTTCTAAAATTCCAGTCATTTTTTTTATAACAGATGGTCTAGCAAGTACCCGTGAGCAGTAACAGCAGGACTTGGGTTTTGTTAGATATTGGCTGAATAAAGATCACGACTCTCTTAAGAAATGGTATTACAGTTCTTTGAAGTACTGTGCTAAGTTTTATTTGACCAAAACAGTTATTGTTTGGAAAAGAGAGAATTAAGAAAATAAATGCATAATAAAAATAATTTCTAAATACATTTTAATGAACATTTAAGTGTTTTAGAAAATTTTCCTTTTGTGTTTCTTAAATATTGAATGAGTAGAAGAAATCATTATAGTCACTTCTACCAAATAAAGTTTCCCCACACACTAAATGACAGTTTAAAGCTAAGTTGAACAGTAGTTCTGATCTCGGAGAAGCAGCAAAGCATCTGCAAGCTTGCTTGCACAGCACGATTGAAATTCGGCTATGCTAGAAGGCGAAGGATGTTTTTAAAGAAATCTTATTTGTTGCTACTAGTACCTAGTAACTGTAAGTCACTCAGGATGGGAAAGTACTTCGGGGTTTTGTTGTTGTTTGTTTTTTGTTGTTTTTCTTTTTTTAATCCGTTCTTAGTTGTAGCTTTGCAGGAGAAGTGGGGGTATTTACAATTTCTGAACTAAGTTTATTTCTGCTAAATGTTAAACTTCTAGGACGGAAATAAAATTTTTCAATTTGGAAATAGAATTGGGTTCTATAGCACTGTTATCCCTCTAGTTACACATGTATCTTTGAACAGTCTAAAAAAATTGGTATTAAATTCTCCCTTGAGCCAAAGAGAAGAAATTGGAAAAAGAAGTAAAATGCAGGAAGGATATTAAGGAAATAGTTGAAAACTGAGTAAAAGTTTGTCTGGCTCTAAGTCCTCATTAACTGTAACTTGTCGTAAGAATGCACGCTGCCGTGTTTGACTAAAATATCCATTAAACAAAATCTTATCTCTGGGAGTGAAGAGTGGTTTACTAAACAGGGAGTTACGGTGTGATGAACTCCACAAACAACAGCAGATTAAGAACACCAAAGAATAAATGGTTTATGGAAGTTACAGTACAGTGTAATTGTAATAGCTAGTTCTATATCATTTTTGAAGATAAACCCAAAACTCCTTTGACAATCTTCAGCTGTATTTAAAATCCTCAACTATTTCTGCAGAACCTTCAAATTCTTCTCTTTCTGCTGTCATGTTGTCTCCTGCATGACTCCTTTTTTTTTTCTTTCCTGACTTGAATAGTTTCAGCTTATTTGTTAATAGAACTCCTTTCCTGCGGTTAATTCATTGAGTGAAATAAGCCCTGTCCATGACCATAATGTAAGCAGGGGAAATTGCAGAAATTTTATCTTTTTTCCTAAAAATACAATAAAATTTAAAAATTCTCCTTCCCACTTATCTCCAACCCATGCAACCCTGTACTGTGAGATTATGGTTAAACACTAGCCATTTGATCATTTGTTTGTCCTGTTTAAATCTAGATCGTGAACTGTTCTTCGGTATTTTTGTCAGCTTTGAAATGCATCCTGTTGGTGGTTTTCTTTAACTTTGTCTCAAAAATAGCAAAAATGTGCTGTTCAGTTTTATTATTAATGGTATTTCATTGCAATATAAAATAATGAACAAAACTTTTTAATTTGTTTCTTCAGAGTCAACTCTTAATTTGGGTAGTATGTTATCCTGGATGATTTAATGAACCTCGCTTTAAATATGAGCATATGTTTTTTTTCTTGAACAACAACAACAAAACCTTAATAAGCTTTTTTTTTTAATTATTATTATCTTTTATAGGAATGATTGCATAGAGAAGAAAGACAGCCCTGAAGTGTTTTTCTGTTGTTGTGAAGGCAACATGTGTAATGAACGTTTTTTCTATTTTCCAGAAATGGAGGTCACGCAACGTAAGTTAGTCTAACACATTTATGAAGGAACTGCTTAGCAGAGTTCAGAAATATTTAGTATTGTGCATGTTCAGGAGATAAGACTTTTCAAAATGTTGCGGTCAGTTTTTCCTGCCAGAGGTTTCTGATTCCCAGATGATAGTGCTGTGTGTGTTCACATAAAGAGCCTAGAAAATTGCCAGTTCATTTCTTCAATTTTGAAAGGTCTCTGTACTAGAAGTAATTTAAATTGATAAAAGATACTCCAGCTCTTTTCTAAGGGTAAGAAAGGAAGGATAATCTGAAATAATTGGCTGTTTTAAGATACAGAAGTTACTGTCAAATCTTACCTTAATTGTGTAGTTAAACTTCTGTAAGTGTCTATAAATCATTGGGCTAAAAGCCATATCATCCTTATATGCATGTACCAGCCTATGAACGCGCCTCTTCTTGAAACAATGCTCTCACTATTTCTTTAAAGTAATTGGACCTTTGAGTTTCTCTGTAAACTGGGCTGTTTTAAGATACAGAAGTTACTGTCAAATCTTACCTTAATTGTGTAGTTAAACTTCTGTAAGTGTCTATAAATCATTGGGCTAAAAGCCATATCATCCTTATATGCATGTACCAGCCTATGAACGCGCCTCTTCTTGAAACAATGCTCTCACTATTTCTTTAAAGTAATTGGACCTTTGAGTTTCTCTGTAAACTGACACAGTAACCTTTAAAAAGGGGAAAAGAATTTCCTCCCAGGTTACAAAGAAAATCAGATAACCAGACTTAACAAATAACTGTTTTAAAAAGCAATAACTAAAAGATTATTTGATTATTCTTGCATATCTTCCAGTCAAGAATCTAATCTTTGTTGGAAAACTGAATAATGTTAATAACTGAACTGAAAACAGCAAACGTCTTGTGTACCAAATAGCCAGAGGAAGTTGTTTATGAAATTAAGTAACATTTTCTATAAGATTAAAATAGCCTTTGTTGACCCAAAAGATATTCTTGTCATTTTTGTCGGTGATACTGCTAAGGCAATAATTGACATTCTTCTTCACTCCCATGAAACCTCTTTTGCCCCAGGGGGTCTGTGGCTGCCCCTGCACCAGCTGCCTCAGAAGTAGGGCTTCTCTGGAGCCTTTCTGGAGTCCTGTGGAAGCGTCTTCAGCTAGAGAGTTTTTACTTTCAGCAAATCAACAGTGCACAGAAATGTTGGCAGATTATTTCTGGCCTGTTCGACTTATTAATGACGTCTTATTGTATACACTCCAAAGACTAAACCTCTGTATTGATTCTTTTTTCATTCATTAGGTGACGGCATTCTTGCAATCTTTTTAGAATACAAACACCTCTTACACACTGTAGATAGGCAGAGCTCAGAAGCACAAAAAAGTTAGATGTGCTGATGTGTAAATGTGGGGATCTAAGTTATTTCTGCGCTTTCCAAAATGCTGCCTTTTTAAATATGTGTCTGTTTATATTAGAGTACACTATTTAATCAAGTATTATTAGCCTGTTGTGCTGATTGCAAGAATTTTTAGAAAATCGGGATGCTAGACACTTCAAGCACTGGATGATTTTTGTTTCTTAGAAGCTGTGTCCTTTTTTTTTTCCCCAGCAACTTCCAATCCTGTAACACCTAAGCCACCTCTGTTCAATACCTTGCTTTATTCGTTGGTGCCTATAATGGGAATTGCAGTGATTGTGCTCTTTTCATTTTGGATGTACAGACATCACAAGCTAGCGTATCCTCCAGTACTCGTTCCAACCCAAGTAAGTCGCTGCATTATGATTTTGGTTTTTTGAATGGTAAAACCATTTATTGAAGAGGAGAGGAGAGAAGGGGGTGTGCATCTGTCAATGGCTGAAGTCTTCTGTTACTTTCCTGGTTTAGAGGTGCTAATGCTTGCTAGCTGCAAAAACAGAAAATTAAGCTTTACTTAAATAGCCTTATCTCCTTTAATTAATTGGTATTTGATGAATGTATGAGCAACTACTTAATGTTTTTACACATCTGTGTGTTTTGGAGGAGAAAAACTAAACACAAAACTTGAGATGGCAGGGATGCTGGAGTGCTGTAGGAAGTTTGTACTCCCACGTAGTTAAAAGGACTGTTTGTCTGAAAGCTGCGTACAGCTGCACTCAGGTACTTGCAGTTGAGCTTAGCTTAAAACAAAAATGAAGGAGAGACGCTAATTCATAATGGCAATTTGCAGTGAATAGAAAACGGTAACTAGTAGAAGCTTAGCTATCTTTAAAAAAGCATGGAACTGGGATACAGGTATCAGTTAAAGGGAATGTAAAGAAAATCTTCAGTTGGAGCATAGTTCCAGGGCTTAGCTCAGCTCTTGGCCTTACTGCGATTTGTGTCGTCTTTTTCCTCTTACTTGTTTGTCTTTTGTGTTTTGTCTTAAAATGTTTCAGTTTTAGCAGTGTTTGTGTTTTGCTTAGAAAATATTATGAGATTGTGGTCTCCAAATCTGAAACGTAAACTGGCTGTGTTGCATCAAAGCAAACCTTTTTTTGGCTGCATGTGCATAGTTCCTGCTGCTGTCAGGCTCAGCTGATTCTGTAGGTGTAATTAGTATTAATACTAGAATTCCTCTTCCTTCAGTTATGTCTAGAGATTCAGTTGAGATTAGAAGGCCTTTATGAAAAGAGTTAAGACAGCAAACTCTTCCGACCGAAGTAGGAAAGATGAACAAAATGTGGTAGTGGAAATGGAGAGAGAAACGACTTGCTCAGGGTCCCACAACACTTGGGTTTTTGCAGTAGGAACTGAACTTAAGCTTCCTAACTCAGTGCAGTGACCCACTCAGAATGCATTGCCTCTCATACAATGATGATACGATGCTATTTATGATTGAATAAAATTAAAACACTTGTTATTTTTGGTAGGATTGCATTTTAAAAGGATTTATGTGTATTTGCACTGTACTGCCAGCTTTGGTGATATTTTCAGTGTTACTGCTTGACTCCAGGGTGTTCTGGGAAGAAGTATTGCCTGTGGTTGATAAATAAAATTGTTTTGGTTTCAGTTTTGTAGTAATAGATAAGAAAAATTTGTGGGGAGGCAGTGGGCATATGTTCTTGCCAAATGAAAAAGAACATAATTTAGAGGAAAAAAGTATGTTTCCTGTCCTTGCAGAAAGTATTGCAGATCCTCAAACTTCAGGCAATCTGTTAACATAATTATTTCATCCATCTCAATTTTTATGTATTTGGGACTTTACATCAACCTAGTAGTCTTCACTGTAAGATCAAATTCATAACTGCTAGTTGTGTGAATAATTTGAGCATGTAATTTCTCTTGTAGACTTAAAGAAATCAAGTAATGGATAAAGTGATAGAAAAGCAAGCAAATGTTAAATATGTGCAAGATATTAAGAACCTGAATTTTGATATTCTTCCTTCTTTTTATTGCAGTTCTTTTCTTGCATGGTTTGTGTTTGGTACAGGAGTGGACACGTCATAAGTTTTTAATAAATAGGGTAATAACCTGTTTTGTTAGTGCTCAGATTGTATCTGTTGGGATAAGTATATGTTGGTGCTTGAGCTAGTTATGGTGTAATAACATTTTCTTATCTTGTGGTGAATAGGCATTAAGGTTTGATGTGGAAAGTCAGGAAAAGCTACTTCTGCCTGAAAAACTAAATGAAATTATTATGGAAATAGAATGTATAAATATTCTCCCATACGCAGCAGAGCAGTATTTCCCACTTCAAATTTGATCAGAGCTGATTTGAACAGGAGGCAGAGGAAGCAGGAAGAGAGGGAAAAGTATTAGTAATTTTATAACCACGAAACAAACATTTAAATAATTATGCAATTAATATATTAAATATTATATTTAATAATTAAGGCATGAGTTGAGTTTGTAGGTGAATGGATTCCTTTCCAAGTCTTTCTGTAGCAAATGGTAGAATGTATAGATCAGATGTATAGCAGATACTCACTAGAAAACAGGGATTTCTGTATGAGATGCAGATAAAGGTTATCTCATTTGACTCGGTTTATTCCCGGAAGGTGATGGGAGTACTTAGATTAGTACCAGGGCGTACTGAACCTTTCTTTCAGTAGAAGTGAAACAATAGATGAGGAATAAGCAAAAGATAAAAATGAGGAAACACTGAAGAATGAGAAGTTTTGGAAGAAAGAGGAGAAGAAGGGATAAGGAGATAAAAAAAAAATCAGAGGGCAAAAGGGAAAGCTATTGTTTGGAGTATTTCAAAAAAAGGAAGAAATATGCCAGAAGAAATTTTTGAACCTGTAATGAAATATAAAGGACAAACATCTGAGAATGCAAACAACTTCATTTTCTTTTGAAAGTAAAATTGTTTCATGGTACATGCATGTATCAGGCAGGCAGTTCCTATACAAACTGAGCTCAGTTTATGGCTATGTGGATTAACTTTATGTTCCCTTTGAACGTACAGATAATTATTTTAAAATGTCACATAGTAGAATTAGTTTATATGTCTGGTTTAAGATTGGAAAGCAGTAGATATTTTTGTTTGCTCCTCACATGTTTCATTCTTGCTTTCTTTCAGGTATTTGGGTAGAGAGGTCAAGGGGGTTACTAGAGTAGGTAACTGCTGAGACGCTCCTTATCGGTATCCGAGTCAGAAGTGCTCAGCGGGTCCCGAGGCGTGTGTCCGGGACAGCCATGCAGAGCTGTGTGCTCCGAGGTGCCGCTGCCATTAGTCTTGGCTTATGTACTTCTTCGTCTCTTGTTTGTGCTGTTAACTGTATGCCTCACTTTATTGTGTGGGGTGCTATCTAGTTAAAGCTGACTGTCAAATTTCATAAAATGTGTCACTCTTTAAATTCCTAAATGAGTTTTTAACAAATGTAAGTTTGCTAAATAGATATGTGTGTATGTAAAAAGGTTTGAAAGAACTATTTCATTTTCTTATTTATATTTGATTTGATTATGCAGCAAAAAATATATTCATATGTCTGATCAAATTTACCAAAAAATGGATTAGTATTTTAAATATTTGAATCTGTGTATTTTTATATAGAAAGAGTTACTCTCACCTGGTTGATTTTCACTCATGAACACCAGGTACACTGAAAATGAAACAGTACTGTCTTTGTGGACAAAGGCTTTCACTCTAAAATTAGGTGTAGATTAGTTTTCCCCACCGCGTCCTACTAATATTCATGGTAGAAATACAAATGCGGATGGCAAGGAGTTGATATGTTATGCTCATTTATTTTTTACATCTGTTGAGCTTGGGCCAGAGTTGTCAGTCAATGCTAATTACAACTGTGGTGTTACCACTCTGTCATCTGATAGATAGAACCATAACCTATTTTATAGCATAACTGACACAAGTAACACTTTTGGTTTTTATCAGTTCACAGAGCTGTGGCTCCCAACATTTTACATCCATACTGTGCAAAGAGAGATTAACCTCTTGTACTTTTTGTTGAGTGCCCAAGTTACGAATATCTTACTGGATCACAGAGTTGCTTTTTTTTTTTGGTTTGTGTTGTTTTTAAAAATAAGAGTCATATGTTGAGAGGGTTGGAAAAAAGCTTTACAGATTCACATAATGTCTTCATAACCTATTTCTGTGCTTTCTTTCAAAATGTTTGAAATTACTTGGGTCAAAAATGCTTCATATTTTTAATCGCTAAGCACAAGAAAGCCCCGATCTAGGCCTGTTTGGTGTTACCAGAAATTTAAAAACTCAGAATGGACAGATCCTGTCTATTAGTGTCCATAAAAGCAAGCTTAGTTGCTAGGAATTACCATTTCTTTCTTTTCTCAGAGAGGAGGATTACATAGTTGAAAAATACAACTACATCTTCTGCTTTTAACCTCCTGTATATCACTCCCTTTAAGCTTTTCACCCAGTATTCCCTGTATTGAGCACAATAATCTTTTATGTGCTTCATTTTTTGGGTTGTTTGTTTTCTACCCCATATGGATGAACCGCACTGGTCCTATATATATGGAGAACATCCGTTGTCTTCAAAGTCATGTGCTACGTGAGCCAAGAATTAAGAATTGAAGCACATGTATCAAATATAGAGATACTGATCTTATCCCTCTGGTCTCAAAAGTTGTGGGTTTTTTGAGCATAAAAAAAATACTGTGATTTTGGTTGATGGCAGTTTTGGTATAGCTCCCTTCACTACTATACCCTGATAGTCTTTGTTCAGTGTCTCTTTTCCTGAAGACACCCAAGTATGAATAGATCTTTGTAGCTATGTCATGGTTTTGATATTTCAGTTTCAGCTGTGAGAAATTAGAATTGAAAACAGTATCACATAATGTGAAGTGAATAATGATGAAGGAGGAAAATCTCTAGCAGATGCAAGACACATTCTGAGATACTGACTGCAGGTCCGACTGCATGTGTAGCAGTGGAAAAATTCTGTGTTGGAAACTAACAGGAAAAGAACATATAATAAAACAAGCACTGCTCTTTGCTGCAGTTTTTGACCACAGACATCTGGTCTAGGCCACCAGACCTGTGCCAAGGAGTTTGAGTGTGTGTGTGTAACTTGAATAGTTTGTTTTCAAAAAGTAGTTAGTAATGGGAAAATTTTTATGGTTGGCATTGGAAAGGATTTTCATTTGTTGGTTTTATTCTCTAAATTAACTTTTAGCACATGAAATAGTCTCGAGCGCCACATTGGGCACCAAAAAGGACTGTTGTGGTTTAACCCCAGCCAGCAACTAAGCACCACCCAGCCGCTTGCCCACTCCCCCCTGGTGGGATGGGGGAGAGAATCAGAAGGGTAAAAGTGAGAAAACT